CCCCCCCCCTCCCTCCTTCCCTCTCCATCAACAACAACTTGAAATAAGAAGGAAAAAAAGGAATTCAAACGCACTAAGACAGACAGAGGGCGGCAGACACCAACCGCACACCTGCCGCAATAGAACAGCATAGACGAACTGCACACACATGAACCGACACGGGCGGAGGGGTGCACTCCGAAATGGGGCAAGGGGCCGAGGGAGAAGGGCGGCGATGCAACAATCACACGGGTCGGAGGCGCAAGGGCATAGAGTGAGGCACGTACCCAAAGTCGGCGGCACAACAACCGCACAGGATACCCATCGTCCACAGAGCCCCAATCTCCCCCCTTCCCCCCTCTCCTCGCACATATACACTTTATCTCTTTCCCCCTCCCTTTCCTCGTCCGCTTGCCCTGCCCGTGGCTCTCTTCATTGACGCTGCCGCCACCCATATCCACTCCTTGCAAGTATGCACAGATGATGCTCTCAAACAGTGGGCAACTGAGTGAGTGAGTGAGTTAGAAATTTTCTGCCGCCGTCGGCGTTCAGCGTGCCGTTGGCATGTCGCACATACCGTCCAAGAAACAAAACAAAAAAAAAGCCACTACCTCACCGTGAAGGTTTCTCGTCACACACAGTACAATCAACAATTTCACCATTCATCTCATAGTTCTTTGTTATCATCTTTTTTCTTCCCATTTTGTGTTGCGTGCACGCGCACCATTGTATCAAGTTAGACGGGAATGATCTTTGCTTCAACCTGTCTCTCCGTACTCTCACTCTTACTGTTTCTACGTGACATGATGCCTAAAAAAGGGGGACATTTCGTTCGAGCACTGTTTCACACACCAGACACGATTGCTGCTTACTGTTACTGATCCACACCTTGTCCACGGTGACTTGTATTGCATCGCTCTGCCAGTTTCTCTGCTGTTGCCATACGCTCCAGCAGCCACTGTGGCAATATTTCACTCTCCTCAGCAGTTACTTGGAACATGCTAACAGGAAATGGTGCGCCGCTCGGCAGCCGAGCGTCGTCAGCAAAGAGTTCGTCAAAGAAATGGTGCTCCAAAACCTCCTTTGCAGAGAGGCGCTCGTCCGGTGTGTACCGCAGCAGCTGCCCTATCAACGACACCGCAGCCGGTGGGGTGCTAGGGGGAAGAACGCTTTGCCACTGCATCGACTTAATGCTAAGGTTGTGGTAGCGCTGCAGGTAATCGCTGCTTCCGGCGTCCGCGTTGCTCGGTGAGAGTGGCGCTTCTCCAAAGCATGTCTCACTTGTATGCATGATCGCCTCCACAGTTTGTGGGTTAAGCACATATAACTCCTTGCGTGAGGGCGCCCCAAGAACTTTAAAAATTTCCGCCATTTGATCAACGGTGGTGGCTCCCTTGAACAACACATTGCCACAGAGAAGCTCAGCGAGCACACAGCCGTATGCCCACATATCTACATGTAAGTGGTAGTACAGAGATCCTAGTAATAGCTCTGGGGCTCGATAGTATCGGGAACAAATGTACGATACATTCTTCTCCCGCGGTCCCTTAGCTCCCAGTGGTTGCATCACTTTGGCGCTGCCAAAATCGCAGAGCTTTACAAGCCCTGTTTCAGGGTCAATAAGCACGTTGCTGGGTTTGACGTCGCGGTGACATATACCGCGCGCGTGCAGAAACACAAGCGCTCGCGCAAGTTGAAACATAGCAGCCTTCAATAGGATGAGCGGCATCCGCTGTTGGCTCTGTCGCACATACATATAGTGCAGACGGTGGATGTCTAGCGGCAGATAATCCATCACGATATAGAGATACTGCTCGCCGTTGGGGCCGCAGGCAGAAAAGTGATCCAGCAGCTGCACAATATTCGGGTGATACGGCAGCGTTGTCGGCACCACCGTGAAGTACCCATTTGGCGTGGAACCCGCCTCCACCGCGGCATTGCTTCCGAGACTCTTGCTGATGCTATTGCTATTATTGCTACTGCTGTGTTGGCTACCGTGACTGCCCATTGCGTATTCCCCACAACGTGCCTGGGGACCGAGATGGTCACGCAGGAGCGTAAGCTCACGGTGATGCAGACGACCATCGAAAAGAACCTTCTTCACCGCCACCGTTCTTCCAGTCCCGCGCACCCTCGCCATCATGACGACACCAAACGACCCACGGCCAAGCACCCGCAGCGGCTCGTACGTCGCCTGTTCACTCGCAGTGGATCCGGGGTTCTGTGTGTGGGGGGACTCCTGGAGCACCTCGCTATTCGTGAAGAGTGGTGAGGTGTTTACGCTCTCAGCTGCCTCTGTGTGTCGCATCCCTTTCCCCTACACCTTTATTTCTTGTTTTTCTTTTCTTTGTTTGTTTTCTGGTTTCACTTCGAATTGCCTGTATTTGCTTCTTTATTTTTAGCCTTTTCCCCCTTTAGCCGGTGCTCGCAGTGCACCTTCCCCTTCTGTCAGCAACAACTGTCACGGCAGCAGCAGGACGAGGAGGAGACAGAGAGAGAGAGAGAGAGAGAGAGAGAGAGAGGTCGCATCAGTTGACAGTGGCGTGGACCCGTGTGCGCACGCCTATACAGCTCACACAGAGAGAAGCACCGAGCGGGATGTTGTGGCTGCACGCACACACACACACACACAGCAAAAAAAAAAAAA